AGGCCGGTGAATCCGAGTTGTTTCCTCCTCATGAGTACCTGGCTCGTGTATATGCAGGGAGCCGGAACAATTCAGTTTTCGAGGGTGTGGGTCGAACGCTAAAGGGGCGGGACTTGAGTCGAGTTCGTGATGCTGTATGGAGCCAGACTGGGTTCGATGGTTAAAAATTATGATTAGGGAAATGGGTTCATCATTAATCATTATTAGCAGCCTAAATTAAAATGAGAAGTATTTGTTATTTCCAGTGCTCTATGATCTTTTTTTTTTTTGTTGTTGGGCACCTGAGTCAGGTATGATTTCCACTGGCAGCAATTAAGCCCAAAATTTTAATTTAGAGAGAGTTTCGTTCGTTCGACTTTTTTGAGTTTCTTGCGTTTTCTCTCTATTGTATTTTGTTTGTCTGGTCAAGATTTGTCATTTATTTTATCAATAATGACACGGTTAAATTTAAGTGCAGAGAAATTTGAAGATTGTTCTAAAATTACACGCTACTATGTTAGGTTGAACAATAAAATACAATATAATTTTAGCATTAGGTACGATACAAGTTTATAGTATATTCGTGTGATGCGGTAAAAATCTTGAACATAAACTTTTGAACCCTTCTTATAGTGGCTGTTGCATAGATGATGTTAGTGTCGTATCAGCCATGGCCTTTTAATGCGCATTTATATGAGATTTTGCGAAGATGCAGCCTTTTTTACTTAACAACAATCTTCACTTTACCTTTAGACGAGTCACAAGATGTATAATGAATGGAATCTCACGTACTCAAGTCATAATTCAAAAAAGCCCAAGTTCATTCATCCCGGAAAAAAAATACAATTTTCATGAATATCTCTAAGCAAGCCCCTGTTTGGTGATCATACCATTCAAAAATAGAGTTTTGAATAGTAATTTTTAGGATAATGTGTGATTAAAAAGTAGAGAAATTTTTTAAATTTTCGTGTATAATTTTTTTTACCGTGTAAATGTGTGATTGAAAATTAGTATATAGAAGAAAAAGATGATTGTCAAACATTAGCTAAATATGGAATAAACTAATGGTCGAGGAAAAATGAAATTGATGTTATGGCACAAATAATCGCCAAATGTACAAAGAATAACTAATGTTTGCACCGGTTACGAGTCCATATGGTCAATGGGGAACGGGTTAGAGAGGTGGAAAATCCCGAAGCCAATAAATTTGTGGGTATGTTTGTCTCTCATTATTGGGAGAAANAAAAAATAATATTTCAATCATTAAAATTTCAAATAATAGAGACAGGCTTCTATTAATTTCAGCGTTAACGAACTCCCTTAACCATAAAATCTCCTGTTTGTCTCTCATTATTGGGAGAAAAATAGAGTAATGAATAATATTTTTTGGAAAATGTGTGGTTGAAATGTAAAGTAATTTTATTGGTTTGTGTGTAGAATATTTTATTGGATGAATGTGTGGTGAAAAATTTTATTGTAGCAAATAATTTTTTTGAATAATGATGGACAAACGGGGGATATTTCAAATAAGTTCAGATCTCAGTATAAAGGTTCACAATCGAAGTAATGTAGAGGGATTACAAAGGGTAGAGGTGTCAATCCGGGTGGTCCGGGCCGGGTCGGCCCGCCAACATGTGAGCCCGGTAACGGCCCGCGTGAAAAAAAGCCCGCCCGCTGCGGGTTCCGGGCCGGTTACGGGTCGGCCCACAATTTTGGACTACAACCCCGGACCGCCCGCTG